TCTTTACAAAATACCAGTAAGGAAAAACGCAAGATTTGTATTCGTTGCGTAGACATTTGACTGACTTTGATTTTACGTGCACGTATGAAGGTTATGTCAACCCAGGTAACCCATCAAATGTCCATCTGTTTTTCAAAGAACGGACTTTGCTTGCTTCTGGCCATCTGCCTGAAATTAATAGCCTGCCTCAACGGTATACTGGCGCGGCCACAGCCGCTGAACACAAGTCCCATATTTTCCCCAGAGGGATATGCCCTGCTAGATGCATCACAAGGCGCCTTGACTGGAGCGTAGCATGAAACTAAGCGCAGGTGTTGATTTACACAGCCCACCCCAGACTGTTAGGGCCGTGTAGCTGAACACAATTCAGCTGCTTCTCGGGCTGCGTCATCGTGCAACTCTCTGGCGGTGGCGAGTGGGTGGAGTCTTCTGGGGTCGCCGACAACACTGTCTGCCAAACAGTCTGCACTGTGTAGTCGCGTGTTTCGGGGTGTCAGCCTAGGCGGCGGCGGGGAAGCTGGCTGAATGTAGGCACGAGGGCGTCGGCAGTGGTTGACGCCAGCAGACGCCTAGTCAATGGCATGACCAGTCAAATAGGCTGTGCAAAGACTAGTCGAAGCCGACGTTCCACTCCAACCACTCTGAAGGTATTGCGACTTACTTATCTAAGAGCGGGGTCAGTAACGATGGGTGGTAGGACTCCCAAATAGATGACAACACTAAAAATATAGTCTAGAATTCGGTGTGGTCGTAAGCAACCCTTATTATTCACCGTCCTCATTGTTTGAAATTATCTACCCCGCCTGACTAAATGTGACCTAACCAGCGGCCCTTTATTCAGGGTCCGTTATCTTTTGAAAATTGGTTCTTGTTTATTTTTTACTTATTGCGCTCACCTTTTGTTAGTTGGCAGCTTACGAGAAGAATTTCTGCAGAAATTTATCTATTTTCCATGTTTTCATGCTTTCCGTCCGGTGGGTTCTTCCACCCGTAAAACCCCTCTACCACTATTTAACGAACGACACGGTTCACAGGTTAGCTCAGGTTAGTTGGAGGTCATACACTCTATGGTTGCCGTGTAATCTTCCAATACGATTGCTCTTGCGGAACCTGAGCAAGTCAAGCACGAATAACAAGATTCGTTACGTTTCACCGCAAGTCCTCAATGCAATATGCCAAATGTGTTCATGGGACATCTTGATAGACGCCTTTTGAAGGAAATTTCATTATTTCCCGTGTGTGAAGTCGCTTGACAGACGCAATTTACCTCATGGCATTTGTTGTCTTTGTTGTAATACTGACATGGTTACCCGAAACTGCACCCCCTCCCCCGAGTTTATTGTCGGTTGAACGTATTTATCTACTTGAAGGAATATTTCCCCGGAATGAATTTAAAGCAAGCAAGGACAGCAGAATTTAACGGTACCACAAAATTTCGCGACGGCTTCTCAACTGCTGCCGGTCGTTGCATAACAGAAATAACAAGTGATAACGGTGCAAAGGTTTGAATTTCGACAGAGAAAATCGATGTAAAACGGCAAGGTCAACGTGTACTGCGCGTAGACTAATCGATAAAATGGTAACTTCAAAATGCAACATAGGAATGAAAATGGGGAACTAGGCATGCCGAGGGATTTCGAAACTCAAAAGGGGCTCGGGTCTACCAGGGC